AGGGGAGGGGAGGGGAGGGGAGGGGAGGGAGGGGAGGGGAGGAGAAAAAAAAGAAAAGAAAAGAAAAGAAAAGAAAAGAAAAGAAAAGAAAAGAAAAGAAAAGAAAAGAAAAGAAAAGAAAAGGGCTTGGCCCTTGGGACACAGTTCTTCAAAGCACAGCAGCCAGGATCAGATTCTGACTTCATATCTGGGAAGGGCTGTCAAGAGCAGCTCGGCCGGGGAGCGGCCTGCGCCGCAGCGGGTTAGGCCACCGCCTGCCACACCAGCATCCCACACCAGAGCGACAGTTCAAGTCCGTGCAGACTCTGCTTCTGATCCAGCTTCCTGACAGGCCCGGGGGACACAGCAGAAGACAGCCCAAGTGCCTGCCTCCCTGTCACCCACGTGGGAGCCTGGATGGAGCTCCAGGCTCCTGGCTTCTGCCTGGCCCCACTCCAACCGTCACAGCCATTTGGGGAGTGTGTCAGCAGATGGAATAGCTACCTCTCTACCTCTTTCAAGTAAAATAAATACATCTTTAACGAAAGAAACAAAGCTTCTCAGCCGATTCTGACAGGAAGCCTCTGACACACAAGACGACGATGCTGGCCTGTCTCACACTGGTGGCAGCGGACACTCGGACAAACCTGTCCTAAGAACTGCGGTCAGCGTCTACGATGAGAGCGACTGGAAGCTTTCTTGAAATGCAGACACTTTCTCTAAGCACTGACCTTTCGATTCTCCTGTCTTAACGGGGTAGCTGCTTCCTTAAGGAGGGGGGATAATGCTGTTGCCACCTCACGGCCCAGTTCTCACGCGGGGGACAGAAGGAACAGCAGCAGAAGCACGGGGCTGCCCAGGGCTCACAGATGGAAACCCGGAGCCCGGGGACCTACCTTCTTTATCAGGCCTGCAGACAAGCAGCTGTACCAAGCATCCCGTGACTGGGAAGAAAACTTGCACAAAGAGTAAGAAATCGCTGCCGTGCAGAACCTGGAAACAGAACAGGAGTTAGAACGTGCAAATGTGACCCCTGTGAGCTGCAGAATAAGTTTGGCCAGTGCTGCAGCTCACTAGGCTAATCCTCCACCTGCGGCGCCAGCACCCCGGGTTCTAGTCCCGGTCGGGGCGCCGGATTCTGTCCCGGTTGCCCCTCTTCCAGGCCAGCTCTCTGCTGTGGCCCAGGAGTGCAGTGGAGGATGGCCCAAGTGCTTGGGCCCTGCACCCCATGGGAGACCAGGAGAAGCACCTGGCTCCTGGCTTCGGATCAGCGCAATTCAGGCCGTAACGGCCATCTGGGGAGTGAACCAACGGAAGGAAGACCTTTCTGTCTGTCTGTCTCTCTCACTGCCTAACTCTGTCAAATAAATAAAAAAAAAAGAAAAGAAAATACTAGAATTAAAAGCTAATTTCTGTATAACACAATTTGGAATTCATACAATTATTCAAAATGTGCATTTTCCAAGAACCTGTTGAAGACCTCTCGTGCCATTTTTTTAAAGATTTACCTATTTACTTGAAAGAGTTACAGAGGAGAGAGAGAGGGAGAGAGAGAGAACGAATCTTTGTTTCATCCAGGGGTTCACTTCCTAAACGGCTGCAGCGGCCAGGGCTGGGCCAGGCAGGAGCCAGGAGCTTCTTCCGGGTCTCCCACGTGGGTGCAGGGCCCAAGGACTTCAGCCATCTCCCACTGCTCTCCCAGGTGCATTGGCAGGGAGCTGGATCAGAAGTGGGGCAGCCAGGACTAGAACCGGCACAAAAATGGGATACCGGCGCTGGAGGCGACAGCTTGACCCGCTACACCCCAGCGCTGGCCCCAACCCTCGTGCCATTCCTAGTGTCCCTGCCATGAGAGGCACTCCCCTGTGTGTCCCCTCGCTGCCCTGTCGGGAGCTCCTGCTCTTCTCATGGGCCGCGAGCAGAGCCAGCTCCTCCCTTTCCACAGCTGCTGCCCCCAGTCCCTGCACACCGCACAGGCCTGTGCCCACGCGCACGTGGGGAGGGACTCCAGCCCCCGAGGGCTCGAGCACCTGCTCCCACACAGCCTCCCTCTGCTTCCTGTGCTTCTGCTCAGAGCTCACACCGGAACCTCTGTCTGACTGACTGCCCACCTGGCCACCTGGCCACACACACACTCTGCCCAAGCAACCAGGGGCTAACCCCAGGATGACAACAGTCCCTACCACAGTTCCACCGGCCAACAGCTCCCAGCAGAGCCCGCTGGCCGTGTCCTACTCGCCCCTTGCCACAGCCGCCTGCTGGTCAGAGCACACGCTGACCTGGCACACAGCCGCCCCTACCCCAGCACTGGAGACCGCTGGTGTGCTCCGCACCCACCGTCAACTTCCTGGTCTGCCCTGCTCCACGCACGGCCGAGGAACACGCAGACCCACGCTCAGTGGGATGAGGACCTCAAACCCTGGAGGATGGGTTTACTGCTGGTGCAGTTCCCTCTGAATCTGCAGCAGAGGAACACTGAGGAGTGAGGCGAGAGGCAGCTCACCACAGGCAGACCCACGCCTGCCCAGAGGGACGCTCCACCAGGGCGGCTCCCGGCGTGACACCTTGTGATGCGCAAGACACCACACTGCCTAGCAGTGACCACCACCGAGGCCGGGCGTCGTGCACAGGTTAGGCCGCGGCGCGGGCGCCTGCACCCCATTCCGGAGTGCCTGGGCCGGTGCTGCCGACGTGCACGCCAGCAGGCACACGGGAGACGGTGACTGACTTCGTCCTGACCCAGCCCTGACTGTGCAGCCATCTGGGGAGTGAGCCAGTGGGTGGAAGCTCTCTGTCAATCTCTCTGCTGCTCTGCCTTCCAAATAAATGAAAATCAACAGACTGACAGGGTTTCTATCCTCAGACGAGAGCCAGGCAGAGCGGCGAGGGAGGGGGACGCGGAGCTCACTTCAGGCAGAAGAGCAGAGACTCGCCGGTCCCGCAGGTCAGGAGGCTGTCCAAGAAGTCAGGGACGGGGAGGCTGCTGGCAGGGGCATGAGCACCCAGCTCCACCTCTGGAAGCGTGGACCTGGACTCGCCCAGGTGGACAGCCAGGGCGGCCAGCCCCAGCACATGCGGGGCACTGAGGCTCGGGCCCTAGAATGAGAACAAGGGACAGATGGCAGAGCGAACGACAGCCGGCTTCCCAGGCAGGGCTCCCAAGGCACGAGCGAGAAGCAACAGGGGCGGCCTGGCCCACAGAGGGGCCCCAAGGGAGCGAGCCTACCTGGTGACGAAGCAGCTGGCACAGCCGCGTGAGCGTGGCAGGGAGCAGAGTGCGTCCACACAGGGTCCTCGTGAAGAGGGCAGCCCAGGCGCCCTGCCTGCCGAGAGAGCAGGGGCCACAGTGCTGGCAGCTCCCCCAACACTGCAGCCTGACCACATGCCCCGGCTGGCCCCCCACGGCAGGAACGGGCACTGGCACCACCCAGAGCCCCGGGGAACTCGGAGCCCCTACCTCTCTGGTGGTGCAAAGCTGGAGGCCACCATCAGGTTCTGACAAAAAGACATGAGCAGGAGGTCCACGGCCTGAGAGGAGACACAGCACCGAGGGCAGCAGCGCCGTCAACGCTGACGCGAGGGCAGGACTTGTACCTGCGCTGGGAATCAGGACAGGAACTGGGAACACCCGGTTCCACGACCGACAGGAACAGCCGTGCAGTTCCCAGGGTTTGACAGCAGGGAGCCGTCTGGCACAGCCTGGCTGTGCACGTCTGAGGCCGAGCGGCACCCAGCCTGCGACACGAGCGCACAGGCACGAGGGTGCCGCAGCCGCAGCCGCCTCCCACATCAGAGGGCCGGTCTGAGTCCCAGCGGCTCGGCTCTCGGCCCAGCGCCCACCACGCAGCTGGGAGCAGCACACGATGCCCAGGCTGGAGAACGCGACGAGCCCCAGGCTTCTCTCAGCCTCAGCTGGTACGGAATCCAGGGAGAGAATCAGCAAATGGAAGATCTGCACGTGTGTGTGTGCGTGCACATCCGTGCCTCGTACCTGTCGCTCTGCCTTTCAAGTAGATGAACACACATTCTTAAAAGATTTTTTAAACACACGAGGGCTGGGGCCGGATGGGCCCCGCCAGTACAGAGCAGAGCCGGCCCAGATCTCTGCACAACCTAACAAGTGGTGGACGCCCCTCCTGCACCCACCTCCTGCTCTCGCCTCTCGAGCTCTGGAGCAAGGACGCTGAGCTGAACCTTTGCCGCCTCCAAGATGCCGTCCTCCTCTCTGGGGCCCAAAGCCGCACTCAGCCTTTCAGAGACCACAGCCACCTGGGCAGACACAACTGACACGGAGAGACAGTGAGGGGCAGGGTGCGCAGAGGCCGTGCCGAGGCCACACAAGCCGTTCAGCACCCGCCCCGGGCCGCAGCCGTGGCCCAGGGCTCGCTCAGGCGTGGTCCTCTCCTGTGACCTTGTAACCGTGAGAGCACAGGCATCGGGCTGCTGGCACACACAGGGCTCACTGCCTCGTGACACTGGGCATGCAGCACGAGCAGGAAGGGACCGGGTGCCGTCCACCACCTCTTCCTGGAGGAACTGACGGCCAACACAACCCTGCCCCACCCAAAATCTCAAGCCCAGGGGCTGGCGTTGTGGTGCAGCAGGTGAAACTGCCTCCTACAGCGCCAGCATCCCACATGGGCGCTGGTACTAGTCCCGGCTGCTCCACTTCCAATCCAGCTCTCTGCTGTGGCCTGGGAAAGTGGAGGAAGATGGCCCGAGTCCTTGGGCCCCTGCACCTGCGTGGGAGACCTGGAAGAAGCTCCAGGCTTCAGATCAGCCCAGCTCTGGCCACTGCAGCCATTTGGGGAGTGAACCAGCTGATGGAAGACCTTTCTCTCTGTTAACTCTACCTTTCAAATAAATAAATCAATAAAATCTCAAGCCCACGCTCCCCGGCACCTACGCCCCAGGGAAGCACACGCTCCCGGCCTGACGATGACCAAACCCAGGCACTGGCCTCACATGGAAACCTCCTGCTGCTCTCGGAAGCAGGACTGACGGCACGTCGGCCAGCCTGCCCTGGTCACTCCACTCTGCGCTCCTCATCTCCATCTCCACCGTTCTCATCATCGCCATCGTACATCCCACAGGGATCTCGTGACAGCTTGTGCGGGGGTCAAGTTCAACTACCAAACTGCACCACAGAAAGACACCGGAGCAGCCATGGAGCTCCGACGGCACACCGTGTGCAGAACATAGCACCGCACAGCGCAGACCTGCCCCAGCCACGTGCTCACCGTCATACTGGGCGGGGTCCGCCATGGCAGCTCTGAGCTCTCCCAGTGCAGCTCGGAGTGACCCCAGGGGCTCCTCAGCACAGCCAGGCTCGGTCCCCCTTCCCGGGGCTGCATCTAGGCGGAGGGGAGGCAGTTTTAACAACCAGGGTGGGAAACACACTCACAGGACTCTGTTACAGAGAGAGAGGCCTCGCACAGGTCAACAGGGCACCGCCCACTCACACGGCTTTCCTTCACGCAGACAGAGGTTAGCAGGAGGCGATGCCAGCGGCTAATTAACACTGACACACGAGCTTAAGAACAGCAGCCGTGTATGCCATCACAGATCCATCGTGAAAACCCCCAGCCCAGCCCGGACGAGGGGGCTACGCGGGAGGATGGCGACTGCTCCGTCAGACCCCGAGTCAGCAGACGACGGACAGAAAGCAGGGGAGCGCCAGTGCCCGGGAGACGTCACCGGTTCTCAGCCGACGCAGTAACAGGTGTACAGAAGACAACAGGACTACGTGTTTGCCAAAGGCACTTGTCCAGACCGTCATACAAAGGAAGAAACGTGACATACTCTTAAAGGCACAGCAAGCTCGGGCTGCCAGAGCTTTGCATGCAGGCCACGCCCACTGAACACGGAAATCACCGGGCTCTGCTCATAGGCATGGGCGGCAGAAACCAAGGAACACTCCGAGAGCCCCTGGGGTAGAGCAGGGGTGAGGGGCGCTCTGCCAAGGGGAAACACCTCTCGCCAGGCGGCCATGGCAAACCACGCTGTGCCGGGTCCTTCACCCTTTGCCTGCTGAAGTCTCTGGGGTCTCCAAGGCCACAGGAAACCACCTGTGCTCATGAGAGGCGGGGCTCGGGGAACAGACACCAAGATGTCTCATGCAGCCTGCTGGCCCTGCGGCTGTCAGAGGACTGGAGACATGCTGTTGGCACGGCAGCACGCCATCGGTTAAGAAGCCGTGCTCTGAGGGCCTGGGTTCAAGCCCTGGCTCCGGCTCCCAATTCTAGCCCTGTGTATGCGCCCTGGAAGCAGCAGAGGAGGCTGAGGGGCTGGGTTCCCCCGCACAGCTCCTCTGTGGACTGAGTTCTGGCTTCCTGCGTTTGGCCCGGAAAGCTGCAGCTGCTGTGAGCCTTTGAGAAGTGAGCCAGAAGTCCGTTTCTCTGTGTCCCAAATAACACAAACTGGGGCCGGCGCTGTGGCGCGGTAGGTAAAGTCTCCACCCTGGGCCCAGCATCCAAAAAAACACAGGCACCAACTTGAGTGTCAGCTGCTCCACTTCTGATCCAGCTCCCTGCTAATGGCCTGGGAAAGCAGTAGAAGACAGCCCAAGTGCTGGGACCCCTGCATCCATGTGGCCATGGAGGAAGCTCCTGGCTTTGGATCCACCCAGCTCCCACCACTGTGGCCACCTGGGGAGTGAACTGGCGCATGGAAGACCTCGGGCTGGGACTCTGCTCCCCACAGGCACGAAGACGCCTGACCTATGTTCTGACTCGGCTGCAGTCGGCCAACAGCCCCACGAGGCACACTTCTGCACCACACGGTGGGCCTGGGGGCTGCTGCCCAGAGAGCTCCTGAACCCCAAGGGGCAGGCAGACGCATCCCACAGCCATGCGGCCCCGGAGATGAGCAGTGGTGAGGCAGACACAGCCGCGCAGCCCCGGAGACGAGCAGTGGTGAGGCAGACACAGCCGTGCGGCCCCGGAGACGAGCAGTGGTGAGGCAGACACAGCCGCGCAGCCCCGGAGACGAGCAGTGGTGAGGCAGACACAGCCGCGCAGCCCCGGAGAGGAGCAGTGGTGAGGCAGACACAGCCGTGCGGCCCCGGAGACGAGCAGTGGTGAGGCAGACACAGCCGCGCGGCCCCGGAGACGAGCACCAGTAAGCAGGTCATTCCTCAGGCCCTCCCACACTAACAGCCCCGGCAGGCGCCACAGGACACGCGCACCAAGAGACACGGAAAGCGCAGTCCCGGCCAGGGCGACCTGGGCCTTACTCTCTGGCAGCTTCTCTCCGGCCGTGGAGCAGGCGTGGCAGTAGGTGGCGTACAGAGACGGCGGGATCTTCCCCACTCTGCGTCGGGAGAAAACAAAAGCAGCTCAGCTATGACGCAGAAACCACTAGAAACGACAAGCGACACAGCACCACGTGTGTCACCGTCAGTCACACGGTGAATCCTGAAAGGCCAGACCACAAGGGGCCAACAACCGTCATCACCATGGACTGAGACTATAAAGACATTTCTCTCGTTCAATTTTTGGTAATTTCCAAAAATATGCAATTGACTGCAACAAAATCGTACAGAATTAGGGGTGGGGCAAACCACCCACACCCCGGGCCGGTTCAGTTCCTGATCCCAGCTCCCTGCTGGCCTCCCTGGGCCGTCTGCTGCCCCCATCTCTCAGGAGCATTAGCAGGGAGCAGCTGGACTGGAACCAGCATTCTGATATGGGCCGCTGATGTCACAGTGATGGCTTAACCAGCTGAGCCACATCAGCCCCTCACATTTTTTAAACTAAAAAAGGTAGCATATCCACAGCTGGATATTAGCCTGTTAAAAATGGAAATCCAGGGGCCAGCGCTGTGGTGCAGCGGGTCACAGCCCTGGCCTGCAGCACCTGCACCCCATAGAGGCACCGGTTCAAGTGCCAGCTGCTCCACTTCTGGCCCAGCTCCCTGCTAATGCTCCCGGGAAAGCAGTGGAAGGATAGCCCGGGTCCTCACGCCCTGTGGGAGACCTGGATGAAGCTCCTGGCTCTTGGCTTCAGCCTGGCCCAGCCCTGGCCATGGCAGCCATTTAGGGAGTGAACCAGTGGATGGAAGACTTCTCTTTAACTCTGGTAACTATCTTATTTTTTAAAGATTTATTTATTTAATTGAAAGTCAGAGTTACACAGAGAGAGGAGAGGCAGAGAGAGAGGGAGAGGCAGAGAGAGAGAGAGAGTAGGAGGGAGGGAGGGAGGGAGAGAGGTTTTCCATCCGTCAGTTCACTCCCCAATTGGCTGCAATGGCTGTAGCTGCGCCGATCTGAAGCCAGGAGCTTCTTCCAGGTCTCCCACGCGGGTGCAGGGTCCCAAGGACTTGGGTCATCTTCTACTGCTTTCCCAGGCCATAGAAGAGAGCTGGATCAGAAGTAGAGCAGCCGGGTTGTGAACCAGCGCCCATATGGGATGCTGGTGCTTCAGGCCAGGGTGTTAAAATGCTGTGCCACAGCGCCAGCCCCTGGTAACTATCTTTCCAAAAAAAAAAAAAAAAAAGTGTTTATCTATGACTAAAAAAAAAATGGAAATCCAGACTCCTGATGACTGCATTACACAAAACGAAGTCAAATCCTGTGTGGGCTACTTCTGAGGCAGAAGGTGGAGAGGTGCTGGGGGCTGGGGCAGCAGTGGGGGTGTCCACACAGAAGGGGAGGGTTGGGAGTCAGGGCTGACAGCAGCACAACATAATGAACGAGACGGACATCAGTGCACATGTGAAAGGCTTGGAGGGTAAGATTTCTACAAGCATATTTGAAAATAATTTAAGAAACGGAAAGAGGAGCCGGTGCTGCAGCATAGTAGGCTGGGCCTCCACCAAAATATATAAGAAGCAAATTTTTAAAAAGATTTATTTCAGCCGGCGTCGCGGCTCACTAGGCTAATCCTCCGCCTGTGGTGCCGGCACACCGGGTTCTAGTCCCGGTCGGGGCGCTGGATTCTGTCCCGGTTGCCCCTCTTCCAGTCCAGCTCTCTGCTATGGCCCGGGAAGGCAGTGGAGGATGGCCCAGGTCCTTGGGCCCTGCACCCCATGGGAGACCAGAAGAAGCACCTGGCTCCTGGCTTTGGATCGGCGCAGCCCGCCAGCCGTAGCAGCCATTGCGGGGGGTGAACCAATGGAAAAGGAAGACCTTTCTCCCTATCTCTATCTCTCTCACTATCTAACTCTGCCTGTCCAAAAAAAAAAAAAAAAAAAAAAAAAAAAAAATTTTCATCTACTTGAAAGGCAGAACAACAGAGATTCTTTGTCCACTGGTTCACCCCTCAAACAGCAGGCCAAAGCAGGAGCCCAGAGCCCGGTTTGGGTCTCAAATGTGGGTGGCAGAGGCACAAGTCCTCCCAGGTGCACACTAGCAGGAAGTGGGCGTGGAAGCACAGGAGCTGGGACCCTAACGGGCACCCTGACTGACCCCAAGTGCCACCATGCCCACCCCGCATGTTGATCACAACTCAGTCTGGAGTCAGTAGTCCCCACTGGGACACGTGACAAGGCAGCTCCTGCTACAGCAGCACCGTCCTCCACGGCACCAGGTCTGCTGGACGCAGGGCGCGCCCTCTCCACGACCCTTCCGTCCTTGCCTCCTCAGAGAGTCTATGAAAGCCATGCGCGGATCAGGGGTCGCTGGGAGCTGTAAGAAAGGGCGTGAGTCAGACAAGAACTGGCCACTGCTGTTCAGATGTGTCGTCAACTCCAGAGCAGGATACTGACCACTCGCGGCGTGAGCAGGGCAGGGAGGAAGTGGCCCGTGTAGTAAGATCTCCGGAATATGCTGCAACACACAACGTCAGACAGCACCTCGGTGAGCGTGGACGGGGGTCCCGGACTCCCCTGGGGGCAGCAGCAGCGACTCTTATTTCAAAGCTGTTTTTCAGTCTCCCTGCTCACTGCTCTGGGCCACGTCGTGCACGTGACAGAAGCACCCCTGCATCCCAGGAACCCGGACCACGCGTGCGTCACTCTCGACGTGGCCACGGAACCTGGGCTCAGCTAAGGCCACGAGGGTCCCTTTCTCCTTGGAGCTGCTCTCAGGGCACCAGAACCCAAGATGTTCTGGGACCACACGGAGTTCGATCAGTTTTGCTGCCCAGTCCCCTGAGCTGGCTGCACACAGGTCTCCAATCACTGCTAGACTGCCACCCGCGTGTCCTCCCCCCACACCCGTGTGTCCTCCCCCCACACCCACGTGTCCTCCCCCCACACCCGCGTGTCCTCCCCCAACGGCTCTCTGGGTGGAAGGACCCACGTGCAGTTACCGAAGACGACACGTTCCACAGCCACAACACAGCTCCCGAACGCCCCCCCCCCCCCAGCATCTGAGACGCCGACTCGTCTCCCCTGAGCAAACGCTGCTCCCCTCCACAGGACAGCCCCCGGACGCCATCACGGCAGGGTCCACAGGAGCTGCAGCCACCGGCAACTCCCTGCTGCCCGTCCCTACCTGGCCTCCATGACGGTGACTGGGATTTTCCCCGTGTGCTCAAACACTGACACGGCCTTTGCGACGTCCTGGGCTGCTTGGCTGTCGGGCTGGTTCCCACGTGGAGGAAGAGAACGCTATTCCGAGCGTGAGCACCCAGGGCTGGCTCGGCCTCTTCCTCCAAGCTGCCATGGCCGACGCAGCAAGGGGTGCTCAACATTTGAACAGGGAAAGGGTCACAGTGCTGGCCCTCAGGAAGCTCAGAGCTGGGAAGCGAGGCCCCTGATCACAGCTCAGCCCCCACCGTCCATCTCTCGTGCCCACTGGCAGCCCCTCTGAAGACTGAACGGTTCAGACGGGACGCCTCCAGGCAGGAAGGGGCTGACACTTCATATCTTTTTTTCTTTTTTCTTTTTCTTTTTTTAATTGAAAGGCAGAGTTAGAGAGAGGCGGAGGCAGAGAGAAAGGTCTTCCGTCCGCTGGTTCACTCTCCAAATGGCTGCAACGGCTGGAGAAGGGTCGATCTGAAGCCAGGAGCTTCTTCCAGGTCTCCCATGTGGGTGCAAGGGCCCAAGCACTTGGGCCATCTTCTACTGCTTTCCCAGGCCATAGCAGAGAGCTGGATTGGAAGTGGAGCAGCCAGGACACAAACCAGTGCCCATACAGGATGCCCACTGTACCACAGTGCCAGCCCCAATATTTCATTTCTGAGATTTGAAAAAAAATCTGAGAAGTGGATGTTTGGCCTAGCAGCAAAGTCAAAATTAGGGTGCCCACATCAGGTTCCCTGGATTCCACCTGTGGCTCTGGCTCCAGACTCCAGCTTCCTGCTACAGCACGCCCTGGGAGGCAGAAGTGTTGGCTCAAGGGCTCACGGCCCTGCCACCCAGAGTGACTTCCTGGCTCCCAGCTCCAGGTCTCACCCAGCCCCTGCTGCTGCAGGCAACTGGGGGAATGAACCTATGGACGGGGGCTCTTTCTGCCTCATGAATTAAAAGATAATAATCATGGGGGCCGGTGCTGCGGAGAAGGAGGCTGAACCTCCACCTGCAGCGCCAGAATCCCAGATGGGCGCCAGTTCACGTCCCAGCTGCTCCTCTTCCAATCCAGCTCTCTGCTTATGGCCTGGGAAAGCAGTGCAAGATGGCTTGAGTGCTTGGGTCCCTGTACCCAACTGCGAGACCCAGAAGAAGCTCCTGTCTCCTGGCTTCAGATCTGCCGAGCTCTGGCCGTTGCGGCCATCTGGGGAGTGACCCGGAGGATGGAAGACCCTTCTGTTTCTCCCTCTCTCTGCCTTTAACTCTACCTATCACACAAATAGAATCTTTAAAATCTTTTTATTTTAAATGGCAACTTAGGAGCAACAATAAATTTTACGTTGAAAACTGCACAGAAATCTCCACCAACACTTGGACATCATCTACTAAGTGTTCTTTAGGAATGCACAGCCTAAGAGGGCCTGAATCAGAAAAGGTGACTTCTGACTAGCGACAGACACAGCACGTGGCCATCCGACACCTGGTTCACATACGCGGGGTTTACACTCCGTGTGATTCCCAGAAAAACCCGCCCAACCCCACAGGCACCCGGATGTTCTGGGCATCGCAGGACAACAGCGACACACACACTCGTTCCAGGTGGGTGCCGCCAAGACACCGCGGGAGCGCTCCTGCCCCGCCCCAGCCGTGCCAGAGGCGAATCGGGGCAGGACGCCAAGGCTGAAACACCCCAGAGAGAAGCAAACTGGACTTGTGCCCGGTGAGCACGGCGCAGCGCAAGGCGACCTCACCTCTGCTATGTCCCCGGCTGATGCCAAGTCCTCGTAAAGCCCCATGTTTTCTATGGAAACCTTCAGAGAAGAGAAGGGGACGATGACCACCAAGACCGGTCTGCTGGGCAGCTGGAGGGAGTGGACACAGAGAGTGGCCGGCCTTGCCTTGAGGTCAGCCAGCCGCGTCTTGGCCAGCGAGACGTAGTCGGAGAGCAGGGAGCGGTACTTGTCTGGAACCAGCGGCGGGTGGAGAATGTGTACCTGTGGGCAAAGCACAGCTGCAGCCACGCTGGTCCACAGCCCCGCTCACGGCCTGCACCCCCAGGGACACTGAGGAGCCCTGGGGCAGCACAGACACGGCCACGCTGGTCCACAGCCCCGCTCACGGCCTGCACCCCCAGGGACACTGAGGAGCCCTGGGGCAGCACAGCCACGGCCACCCTGGTCCACAGCCCCGCTCACGGCCTGCACCCCCAGGGACGCCGAGGAGCCACAGCCACGGCCACCCTGGTCCACAGCCCCGCTCACGGCCTGCACCCCCAGGGACACTGAGGAGCCCTGGGGCAGCACAGACACGGCCACCCTGGTCCACAGCCCCGCTCACGGCCTGCACCCCCAGGGACACTGAGGAGCCCTGGGGCAGCACAGCCACAGCCACCCTGGTCCACAGCCCCGCTCACGGCCTGCACCCCCAGGGACGCCGAGGAGCCACAGCCACGGCCACCCTGGTCCACAGCCCCGCTCACGGCCTGCACCCCCAGGGACACTGAGGAGCCCTGGGGCAGGCTCAAAAGCACAGCAGAAAAATCATTAGCAAAACCGACACCCGCAGCAGAGGCTGCTCACTCAGAAACTAACGCATCGGTTAGCACTGAGTCAGTACTGGGGCGCGAACCAGGCAAGTGGGGGACACGGACCCAGAACCAGGCACAGCTGGGCACCTGCAGCTCCCTGGTCAGGGGACGGCAACGAAACAAAGGAGTCCACAGTGCTGAAGGACAACGGAGACCGCAGGGGACACTCGCGGCCTCTGCTCCGGAAGGCACCAGCCACAGGCTCCAGGAAAGGGGGCGGGCCCGACAAAGGAAGCCGGAGACTGCCGAGGACAGCGGCCCGACAGCCACAGAGGGTCTGCACAGACGTCCCGACCGTGCCTTTAGGAGGCGGCAGGGAAGGCACGTGGTGACCTCAGAGGGGCTTGGGACAGGACGCTGCTGCCGGTGGTGACAGCCAGGCTCGCCAGGCACCTTCTCACCTTAAAGGAGTGCTGAACACAGACCCGACACTACAGTGCCTGGGCAGGGGAGGGGCCAGAATTCCAGGGCGGGGCAGGAAGGAGGACGGTCCACGAAGGAGGACGGTCCACGGACTATCCACTCTGCTTCCTGTACCCCTTGTACACATCTGAGCAGCACACGCCCCTTTTATCTTTCAGACATTTTAAATGTATTTGAGATACAGACACAGAGAGAACTTCGTGGTCACTCCCCAAATGCCCACAACAGCCAGAACGGAGCCAAGCCCAACGCAGGGCTGGGCACTCCACTCGGATCCCCCGTGTGGGTGGCAGGGGTCTGGTCCCTCCCGGGTGTGCGTCAGCACGTGAATGGCAGGGGTCTGGTCCCTCAGGCCATCCCCTGTGGCCTCCCAGGTGTGTGCCAGTAGGAGGGTGGCTGGGTCGGGAGACAGAGGCAGATTTCAAACCCAGGTTCCCCAACACGGGACGCACGTGGCTTAACCACGGGTCTAAATGCCTGCCCCATGACGCCCAGCCTCCAGGTCATTGCTCCTGAAGACACATGCTGGAGCAGCTGACTGAAACAAACACCAAACCAACCAAAAACCACCAGATACTGCACACGGCACTGCACACTGGTGTAAAACCCAGGGCGTAATGGCCGCCGGCAGCTTGAGGGCGCGACCTTCCAGGTCCTTCTGAATACACGAACCTATCACTTGTTGAAGTAGACACAGGGGGACCGGCACTGTGGCGCAGTGGCGCAGTGGGTCAAAGCCCTGGCCTGCAGTGCCTGCATCCTATGGGCGCAGGTTCGAGTCCCGGATGCTCCACTGCTCCTGCTAATGTGCCTGGGAAAGCAGCAGAGGACGGCCCACGTCCTTGGGCTCCTGCACCCACGTGGGAGACCCAGAAGATGCTCCTGGATCCTGGCTCCGGATCCGCTCAGCTCTGGCCATCTGGGGACTGAACCAGAGGAAGGAAGACCTCTCTGTCTCTACCTCTCTTTGTAAAACTTTCAAAGAAGTATAACAGCAAATCCGTAACAAAAGTAAATAAATAATAGACATGGGATCCCACCTGCACCCACTGCCAGACTGCCTGCTGACTGGTCCCTCCCTTGAGTATACAAACCTCTCACCTGTCAAAGTGGAAACGGGGCCCCAGCTCTGGGGCGGCTGCTCACCTGCAGGCACCGCGGGGCCTCAAAGGGCACGAGGTCGGACAGGAACTTGAAGAGGAAGACCAGTGCCTTCTTGCTGCTGCCGTGGTAGCCACGTGTGCTCCCAAAGGAGGCCTGTGGGGAGACACGGGGATGCGGCTCGGGGCGCAGACACCGCTCGGCGGGGCCCAAGCCCCTGGGCTGCACCAAGGGGCTGGCTGGCGGGCCACTCTCACCCCGCAGAAGAGAGGAACAGCTCGGGGGTGCCCTGACTGAGGAGATCCGACCAGGTACTGCTCCTGGTCCTCAGGGGTCCACAGCCACCCCCACAGACGCTCCAATGTGCAAATACGCTCGTCTCACGTGGCAACTGTCCTTCCCACACCCGACCAAGAGTGATGTGACCCCTGCAGGACAGGCGGCCACGGTGGACGAGCCCACAGATCCTGACGCCACAGATCAAGGACAGTGGGGGGTGCCCAGCAGCCAGCCCTCTGGGGGCCGAGGGAGCACCCCCACTGCAACAGGTCTCCAGCAGGGCCCCAACGATAGCAGGACGAGGCACTGGCCCCGCACACATGACAACCAACCCTGCAGAGAGCAACTGGACATCTGTGAACACCAAAACCACACAGACCCTGCCATGCTGGCCACGCATGGACCCACAGGACCATGAGACCGTCACATGCTGACTGTTCCCAACCTTGGTTCTGGTAACTGCAAAACAGCCAGCATCAAAAAGGGGACAGCACCCCTAAGACGAAGACGGTCAGAAGACAGGGCAGACAGGCTGCTGTCCCTACCCCACTGAGCACCAGGGAGACAGGAAACTCAGCAAACAAAGATGCCCAGCTCCCCTACACCCAACTGCCCACAGCCCCACCCCACGCAGCTCCCCTACACCCGACTGCCCACAGCCCCGTCCCACGCAGCTCCTCTACACCCGACTGTCCACGGCCCCGTCCCACGCAGCTCCTCTACACCCGACTGTCCACGGCCCCACCCCACGCAGCACCCCTACACCGCAGACTGCCCACGGCCCCACCCCACGCAGCTCCCCTACACCCGACTGCCCACGGCCCCACCCCACGCAGCTCCCCTACACCCGACTGCCCACGGCCCCACCCCACGCAGCTCCCCTACACCCGACTGCCCACGGCCCCGCCCCACGCAGCTCCCCCAAACCTGAGACTGCCCACGGCCCCACCCCACGCAGCTCCCCCAAACCTGAGACTGCTCACAGCCCTCCGGAGGGGCAGGAAGCCAAGCTTCCCGCTGAGGGGCGACTACGTCGAGGAGCCCACACCGTCCTCACAGAAACCGCTGGTTTTTACGGGGCCACCAAGAGGATCACTAGGAGCCCAGCCTTCAGGGTGGACCCATGGCCACACCCACCAAGGTGCCTCTGGCAAGCACCGCTGAGGGTCTGGCGAGTGAATCCTCAAAGCCCTTGGGTCTAGGACCAGCCGAGCACCCACAGGAGGCTGCCCAGGGCCGCTGCAGCAGTGTCCCACGCCACTCACCTTGAACCAGTCTCCGTACGACGGAAACAAGGCGGGCCCCTCCAGCGCAGCCTGACGCACAACCAGGAAGGCCGTGACCATGCTGTCCAGGTGGTAGCTTTCAAACGCCCGGGCCATCAGATGGGCCACCCAGTCTGTGGAGGACCCAGAGACTCAGCTGGAGGGGACCCGAGGGCCAGCCCATCAGAAGTGAGCGAGGAGGCCGTGCCCACACCGGCCCCCACCCACGTGGCCCCAGCACCCGCGGCACACACACAGGGGAGGGGCCGGCGCACCGCTGAGCAGCTGCCGCGCTTCTGGGAGGCAGACGACCAGGGCAGACACGCAGCCCAGCACACGCTGCCAGTGGACCTCCTGGGACTCCAGAGCCTCCCGCACACAGCCGAGCAGCTCCTCGGCGCTCAGCATCACGAAGAGCTGCAACGAGAAGGCCCGGAGCTGGCCACGGAGGCCGCGGGAACCGACGGCACACCGGGCTGCCACGTGCACACCTCGCGTCCCCTCCTCTGCAGGGAATTCTCAGGAAGCAGACGAGATCCGCGCCCTGACCCGTGGACGGTGGTGCAGACGTGGACGGCCACGTCTCGCCGAGTGCCCTCAGCCTCCCCTGGAGCCACAGACCTGCAGTCCCCCCAAACCCAGCATGACACGCACCCCGCGGTACAAGGCGGTGAGCAGCGGGTGGGTCCTGGCGAAACTCCACTCTCTCTGCCTCTCAATGGCGTCGGACACTTGCAGGGGGGACACAGAGGGGACCCCAAGTCAGTGCCCTCCCAAAGGCCGGCACTCAAGCTTCAACGCAGAAACATGATCTTGCTCCAAGCAGCGTCCTCTCGCTTATCAGTGAAGCCCGCTTCTGTGAACCTGTCGCCATCGGCTTCCAGGACCTGCACCCACCCCCACACGTATCGAGTCCTCTCCCGGTGGCTTGGAAAACCTAGCACGACACGCACCCTGCACAGGGTGCTGGTTTTCCGTATCATTCAGAGACGTGTGTACCTGCTTAGCACAATCACTACCTCCCCCCGGCATCTCCTCAGGGTCGTGGGGCGCACGCACGGCGGGGCGGATTCCGGTGCCACTGGCTCAGCGTCCTACCGCTTGGTCTTATTTGCTAGAAATGGCCTCCAACGCGTGAATTACATTTTAGCTCTGCTACTCTGAAATGGTCAACTGTCAATGAGCAACTGTAGTAAGGATGGAGTCGGAAGGACACTCGGAAGCTCAGCTCGAGCAGGGGCCGAGGACCCAGCAGTCGCCCGTGTTTCCTGTCCCAGACGTCCCAGCTGAGCCTCTGACCTGCGGACACAGCCGGCGGCCGACAGGCAGACGTCTCCTCAGCCTGACTCACTGGCAGCGACGCAGCCTTGGAAGCAGCTATGCCAGGTCACGGGACAGCACAGCACAGGACATGCGCGCCAGACGTTTACCCAAGAGCCGCCAGCTGCAGGCACACACCGGGCAGCAGGATGGGCCGCGCACGGCTCTGTTCAGGAAGAGGCCCTAAGACCCCTCCCTTCCGTGACAACTCTGTCCTGTCCGCCTTACCCCTGCGGCTACTTAATAACCAAGCACCCTAGGAGAGGCCACAGGCTACCAAGCGCCCCCACTTCCCAACAAGGGCACAGCCACAGAAGCTGGTGTGGTCTCCATGGCAACAAGAAGACACCGACCCCCAGACAGGGCGGGTGGTCCATGGCTTCAGCCGGAGACCGACCCACCTTTCAGCACAGGGTTGTAGGTGAGTGTCTGCGTCAGCGTGTCACTGGCAAACCTTCTCGGCGCGTCCCCTGGAACCATCCCACAGAGCGTGCGTCCACAGCAAGCGCTGAGCCTGCAGACACGCAGGAAGGGGCTCTCACCCCGTGCCAACCGCACGGCAAGGCGACCGCAGGGCTCACGGGCAGGCTCTCTCTCCAAGTGTCACGCACACAGCCCCCCACAGCAGGTCACAAAACCAGGGTCCTGGTTTCAGAGCTGAGCAGGAGAGGCCGGCTCTGGGAAACACTGGCGTGTACCAGCAGCAAACCAAAATACCAAACGGGGGACCGTGGCCTGTCGGGTGCCCGCTTCAGCCCTGCAGCCACGCACGCCAGAGCAGCCGGGGGCTGAGGCCCCCGGACCTCACACACTAAACTCCCCTGTGACCAAGCGCCACACGCCCACCCTGTCCCATCCCCCAGTGCACCTGCAGGTCGCCCTGGAGCCCAGGAGCGCGGGGCTGAGCGGCTCCCGTTCAGCACCCCCAGAGGGCACGTGAGGCTCACGCAGGAGAAATGACAGCCTGTGTTCTAGAAAGCCCAGAGGGAGGGGAGGGGGCACAGAGGGCTCACCTGCAGGGAGGGGACAGGGACACAGCGGGCAGGATTCTCAGGGCCCCAGTCGAGGGCCAGCAGAGCAGGGATTTCAGGAACAAAAGCCAGGACCCTGCAGTCGGAGCCCCCACCCACCGGCAGGGCAGGAGCACCGGACGTACCAGCACCTCGCTGCCTTGTGTGCCGAGGACTCCTCCTGAGTGCCGGCTGCCACTGCGTCCAGGCCAACTGCAAGAGCACAACACAGCAACGTCACACCTCCCAGCACATGCGTGGGCCCCCACAGCCGTGTGCAGGACGCCAAGCCCCCCTCGTGGCTCCACTCAGCGCTCCCCAAGCCTGCACCCTGCCCCGCAGCCTGCACACAAAGCCGCAGTCACTGCACAGCTCTGGAAGGTAACTGCAGCCGCCAGGAGCCGAGCAGAAGTGCAGGGAAGCCCACGCCCACCACACAGCAGGGAGCCTCCAGCAGTCCTGGACGCTGCCTCCACCCCAAGTACACAGCAGCGGGGGAAGGCAGGCAGACAGCAGCACCGCTGAGCTGGGAAACAGCCTGGTCGGCACTCACAGGCCAGCATCCTGTGCAGCACGTCCAGGGCGACCTGCGGAGATAAGATGTGACAGCCACGGTCCTACACAGCGACAGCCATGGTCCCACAGACACAGAGATAGCCACAGTCCTACACAGCGACAGCCACGGTCCTACACACACACACAGTAACAGCCACTGCCCTACACACATACACACAGACACAGAGACAGCCACGGTCCTACACAGCAACAGCCACGGTAGTACATAGTGACAGCCACGGTCCTACACAGTGACAGCCATGGTCCTATACACACACACAGCGACAGCCACTGCCCTACACACACACACACAGTGACAGCCACAGTCCTACACACACACACAGCGACAGCCACTGCCCTACACACACAGACACACACAGACACAGTGACAGCCACGGTCCTACACACACACACACAGACAGCCACAGTCCTACACACACAGTGACAGCCACTGCCCTACACACACACACACACACACACAGAGCGACAGCCACTGCCCTACCTACACACACATACACACACACACACACAGAGACAGCCACTGCCCTACACACACACACACACACACAGAGCGACAGCCACTGCCCTACCTACACACACATACACACACACACACACAGAGACAGCCACTGCCCTACACACACACACACACACACAGTGACAGCCACAGTGCTACACACACACACACACACACACACACACACAGTGACAGCCACAGTCCTACAGACAGCCATGTCCACAGTCCTACACACACACAGTCACCACCTATAGACAACACAGCCACCGCCCTCCACACACACAACTGCCTCCACACACACACAACACACCACCGCCTACACACACAGCACAGCCACTGCCCTAGGCACACATGACCGCTGTATGTGCACACAAGAAAACCTCCCATTGTTTAGAGTAAAACAGACCCATGTTTTACCAAGGGGTCCACTTTGAAGACTTCTTAGGCCTAGGAACCACGAAGTACCAAGGAGACCCAGAGCGAGTGGCTGGGGAGGGCCGGGAGGGCCTCCTGCTAGTGCTGCCAGCGCCGCCTCACAGCTCCGGCTGTGCCGCTGAGGCGGAGTTTGCTGAAGCCACCTCAGCTCGCTCCTCCCCTCTCGCTCTGGGCCTTGGGAACCAGCACACGCAGGGGAGCGGCCACTGCCCACTCCTGCCCCTCCTGCTTCCGGTGCCTGAACCCACTCACAGGCAGCTGCAGGGCCAGGGACCTCCGAGACGGAGAAGACCCAGGACCCGGCCTGCTCTTGAGCCGCAGCCCCTCCCCACTTCCTCCCCGCACCCCTCACCTGGGGCATCTTCTCAGGCTCCCCGCGTCTCCTCTGAGCTGAGTTTTCACTAAATCCCGTCGAAACAAAGATTTGCACAAAATCTGAAAAGCCAGAAACCCAAGTATTTGCATGCACATTGGTTTCCAGAGAGCTGCGGGCCCCAGGCAGCGGCTCAGGCAGGGGCGCACGCTGTGTGGAGGGAGGGTTCTGCGGAGCGGCAGGGGGCACCTCGCCCCGGGGTGGGGGCTGGGGGCGGGAGGGGCTCCCCGGCACGTTTTCTCCACCCCGACATCCCTTCCTGACACTCCATCTAAAAGGGACTGCTCCGGTACGCTCTGAGGCACGGCAGTTCGAGTCCCGGCTGCTCCAGTTCTGATCCAGCTCCCTGCTAAGGCACCCGGGAAAGCAGCAGAGAACAGCCCAAGTACTCGGGACCCTGCACCCCATGGGAGACCCAAAAGAAGCTTCTGGCTCCTGGCTCTGGCCCGGCCCCGCCCCAGGTGTTGCGCCACTTGGGGAGTGAACCAGCGGACGGAAGACCTGTGTCCCCCCTCCCCCTCTGTAACTCCACCTTTCAAGTAAATAAAATAAACCTCTAAAACAGAAAAAAGTGGAGGGGTTTTCCTCCCTTGGAGCCCCCTCAGGCCACTCTGACGGGAGGCCTCTGACTTAAATCTTTTCTCTCAAACAAAAATTTAAAAAATTTAAATAAAACAAAGAAGGCTTCTACCCCTCATCATGAGCCTCAGGGGAAGGCACGCGCCCTCTGCAGGGAAACCCACCAGCTGCGCCTGCAGCCCCCCTTCCCCACGGGCGTCGCTCCCCAGGGCCTGTGGGCAGGCTGTGGGAGACCCTCCCGGGGGCTGGCGCTGACCGCGGCTGCGGGGCAGCCGTCCTGCCTCCTCTCCCTCCAAACCAGTTCCACCCACGAAGCCCCCTCGGGCCGTGGACCTACCGGAGAGCACAGCTCCGGCGACCTCGGCAGAGGGAGCGGACTCCGTCTGTTCACAGAGAAGGCGCAGCTTCCTGAAGAGCCACGCCGCCACGGCCTGCTTGTCGGGGTGGCTGGGGGGACACGGACACGGACACGTTTCATCTCCACCACGGAGCAGTTCTCTCTGCACTCACCAGAAGCTTTAGCCACTGGGAAGCCCGAGACGTCACAGCCGGACAGGGAAGGACGCCCACCAAGCCCTCGTTCCCAACAGCTGACTACTGTGCACTGCGGGGCAGCGGGTCAACAAGCTGCCACCCGAGTCGCCGGTGGCACTCACAGGCCCTGGTTCATGTCCCAGCTGCTCCACTTCTGATCCAGCTCCTTGCTAACGGCGTGGGAAAAGCAGCGCAAGATGGCCCAAGTGTTTGGGCCCCTGCACCCACGTGGGAGACCTGGAAGAAGCTCCTGGCTCCTGGCTTCGGCCTGGACTAACCTTGGCTACTACAGCCATCTGGGGAGTGAACCGGCTGATAAAAGATCTGTCTCTCCCTCTCTGTAACTCTGCCTTTCAAATAATTAAGTAAATAAAGTAAGTAAGTAAATAAATAAGTAAATAAGTCTTTAAAAAGCAAACAGAAGCTCGGTGGCACGAGAACAGCCTCAGCCACATCTGCTTCCTGCACCATCACAGAGCGGCACCGGCACCGGCACCAGCACCAGCACCGGCACCGGCACCGGCCCGGCACCGTCACTGACCGGCACCATCACTGACCGGTGCCTTCACCGATTGGCACCAGCAGCGGTCAGAGCAGAGCCACGCCTCAGCCCCGGTCCTCTGCTACAGACAGGCCACCCCGGCTCCTCTTTTTTTTTTTTTTTTTTTGACAGGCAGAGTGGACAGTGAGAGAGAGAGACAGAGAGAAAGGTCTTCCTTTGCTGTTGGTTCACCCTCCAATGGCCGCCGCGGCCGGCGCGCTGCGGCCGGCGCACCGCGCTGATCCGATGGCAGGAGCCAGGAGCCAGGTGCTTTTCCTGGTCTCCCATGGGGTGCAGGGCCCAAGCACCTGGGCCATCCTCCACTGCACTCCTGGCCACAGCAGAGGGCTGGCCTGGAAGAGGGGCAACCGGGACAGAATCCGGCGCCCCGACCAGGACTAGAACCTGGTGTGCCGGCGCCGCTAGGCGGAGGATTAGCCTAGTGAGCCGCGGCGCCGGCCACCCCGGCTCCTCTTTAATCACTGCGCCAAACGTCTGGCCCCATGGGGCTCTTTCCATCCATGCATCCACTCCCCAGACGGCCACACGCTCTGCTTTCTCTTCAGGTGGTATCAGTTTTTCATCTTGGATCAAACGGCCACAACACCACAGCTGGTCCAGGCTGAATCCAGCAGGCTAAGCGCCCTCTGGGTCTCCCACATGGGTGGGGGGACCCACGCACTTTGGCCAGCACCTGCTGCCCTCCCAGGTGCACCAGCAGGCAGCTGGGTCAGAAGCAGAGCAGCCAGGACTTGAACCGACACCCAGGACGGGATGGCAGCATCACAGGGGGCGGCCCAACCGGCCGTGCTGACGCCGCCCCAGCAGTGCCCCCGCAAACCATTTTCTTAGTGCACCATGAAAACACGGCTGGTCAGCTGCTCTGGGCCTGGCGTCACCGAGCTGGGCCACCTGCAGGCAGGCGGCCACAGAACAGCTCCGCGGTGACCTGTGGAGGGACCGGAGGCCGTGGCAGCACCACAGCAGCCCCCCTGCCCCGTGTGCCAGATGTCACATTTTCATCAGCCATTTCTCCTGCATCCACGCCCACGGCCACTGCCGTGCAGGTCTGCTCCAGATGCAACGCTGAGCGGGAGCTGTCACAGGGCAGGGTCCATGGGACAGGCCTCGCTGCGTCCTGGCCTGACTGCTCTGTGTGCCTAACCTTCCTGCTCATCCGACATTGCTCTGCGTCTTCCTCCCCTGGTGGCCACACCCAGGCAATGCTGGCCTTGGAAAGCTGGGAGTCAACGAGGGCACGGCACAGTCTCTCCTTAAATGCTTGGAGAGGTGCTTGGCACAGCCGTTAGGAGGCCACTGGGGGGGGGGGGCTGGCACTGTGGCGTAGTGGGTAAAGCCACCCCATATGGGCATTGGTTCGAGTCCCGGCTGCTCCACTTCTGACCCAGCTCTCTGCTGTGGCCTGGGGAAGCAGTGGAAGATGGCCCAAGTCCCTGGGCCCCTGCACCCACGTGAGAGACCCGGAAGAAGCTCCTGGCTCCAGGCTTTGGATCAGCACAACTCGAGCCATTGCAGCCATCTGCGGAGTGAACCAGCAGGTGGAAGACCTCTCTCTATCTCTCTGCCTCTCTGTAACCCTGCATTTCAATAAAAAAATGAATAAATCTTAAAAAAAAAAAAAACGGCCCGGGGACACCCACACCCCGGCAGAGCTTCCTGCCGATGCAGACCTGGGAAGGCTCAAGTGCTTGGTTCCTGCCACCACGCGGGAGACCCAGGCTGAGTTCAGCTCTGCCCCCAGCCGCTGTGGACATCCGGGCAGCGAACCAGTGGACAGAGACCAACCTGCCTTTCAAATAAATTACATTTTTTTTTTTTTTTACAATTTGTTTACCCAAAAGGCAGAGCTACAGACATAGAAGACAACAGAGAGGGACAGACCTTCCATGTGTTTGTTCGCTCCCCAGATGGTCGCAGTGGCTGGGGCTGTCCCCAGGAGGCACTGACACTCAACTCGGGTTCCAGCTTTTTCAACTGCACCCAACAGGCCCGCCCGGCAGAAGACAGCAGCCTCAGGCGGCAGAGGCAGGGGCTCTAAAGCCTTCCCTCCCCGCACTTCCTCTGCCCCAAGCTCCTGGGGCTCCTGGGGCCCCCGGGGCCTTTAGGGAGTAACGAGAAGGACTCGGACCAGTGCACCCCCCTGCACAACAGCGGCTGCTCTGTCCGGTGCCCACCCACCTCCCCGGGACCAGCCTGTCTGCTCTGTCCGGTACCCGCCCACCTCCCCGGGGCCAGCCTGTCTGCTCTGTCCGGTGCCCGCCCACCTCCCCGGGACCAGCCTGTCTGCTCTGTCCAGTGCCCGCCCACCTCCCCGGGGCCAGCCTCTGTCTGCTCTGTCCGGTGCCCGCCCACCTCCCCGGGGCCAGCCTGTCTGCTCTGTCCGGTGCCCGCCCACCTCCCCGGGGCCAGCCTCTGTCTGCTCTGTCCGGTGCCCGCCCACCTCCCCGGGGCCAGCCTTTTCTGAAAGTCCCAGTTCCTCAGGGGACTTGAGGGAGCAGGTGCACGTACTGTGCCCACCACTCACCCCACCACCTCGCACACTCGACAACAGCACCGTCCAACCAACACCGACGAGTGTCCTTTAGAAGGCAAAGCAACCGCTTCGCCCAGGGACACTCCGCCTTGAACACTCCAACACGTCGGCCGACGGGGCCGCGGGGACCCACTGTGCCCACCCAGCGACATCAGCAGGGCCCTACCTCTCCAGCAGCTCCTGCAGACTCACGAGGTTCTGTGTGTGAAGACGCCACAGGGCTTCGAGCAGCAGAGAGTCCTGGGAAGGGAGCGGCACGATGAGCCCTCACTGCCTTGGGTTCACAGCCACCATGCGCCGTGGGCACGCACAGCGGAGAAGCCAGCACGGCCTGCAGGGTGTCCAGGGGCCTCCCGCACGTCAGGGTCTCCCCGGAACCCTTCCCCGCATCTGCCTCCGCTGGCAGCCGGTGCGGGAGCTACCTGCTACCAGCGAGTCAGATCAAGTCCCCCCAGCAAGGCCTCCGAACTCCAGATACGGGCTCGCTCGGCCGTCAGCTGCCCTCTCCCTGAGCCCGACCGCGAGGAGGCGCATGGAGACGGAGCCTGACAAACGTGAGCCCTGCACGGGCCCTGCACGGACCCCACACGGCCAGGCAGTGGCCGCTTTTCTGACTGTGTAAGCACAGCGTCACGGGGCTTCCGGAGAGAGCAGGCACAACCCCTCATCTCCGCCGCGAGCTCGCCATCCTTCGGGGACGCCCCTTGCACCCTCGAGCACTGCCAAGGCCGCGTCTCCGCAGGTGACCGAAGGTGCCATCCCGGCCACAAGGGCCCCGCGAGCCCCTGTAGCTGATGCGGTGCGGGGGACTCCCCAGAAACACAGGGAGGCGGCCACCCTCCTCGGGGCCAGGCTGCGGCTCAGCGGTACCTGTTCTCTCCACAGCTCCTGACAGAAGCGACGGCGGGAGAAGGTGCCCTGCGCCAGCAGGCTCTGCGCCGTCTCCAGCAAGGACGCCAGGTCCCTCTGAAAAGACACCAAGTGTTAGAGAGAGAAAACGGGCCACTCACCAGGACAGCGCCGTGAGCCCTGACCCCCGCCGAGGCCAGGGGGCATCTTACTCTCTGCTCTGTGTCCAACAGCACACGGTCCCCAGGCTCCGCCGCTGCCCCCTGGGCACAGATCCGCACCACGCCGGCGGCCACCATCCTGGCTGACAGCAGCCCTGCGGGAACCCCCAGCCGGGAGGCCTCATCCCGCAAAGCAGAGCCTTGAAGACAAAGCAGAGGGCTGGCACTGTGGTGCAGAGGGCAAAACCACCGCCTGCAGTGCCGGCATCCCACACGGGTGCTGGTCCAGTCCCGGCTGCTCCACCTCCCATCCAGCTCCCTGCTGTGGCCTGGGAGAGCAGCAGAAGATGGCCCACGTCCTTGGGTCCCTGCACCCACGTGGGAGACCCGGAAGAAGCTCCTGGCTTCGGCCTGACCCAGCCCTGGCCACTGCGGCCATTTTGAGGCGTGAACCAGTGGATGGAAGACAGCAGTCTGGCTCTCTCTCCTGATTCTGCCTGAAGACCTGCGGCTCTACGTGCGTCATCGTAAGCCGTGGCGTTGCAGAAAGGGGGATGGCAGGGCCGAGCGGCGGCCACGCCTCAGCCGTCTGTGCCCAGGACCTCGACCTCTTCCCAGCGCAGCTCGGGGACCGGAGGCCTGCCGCAGCTTCCAGTCTCCGCGCGTCCCTGACCACTGCAGCTCTGCCGAGACCTGGGCGCCAGCGGCCACGGGGGCCTGGTCCTCGGGGCTCCCGGGCGCCTGCCTCCATCAGGTGACCCGGGAACGCTCTCCAGCTCGTGTGGCTTCCGAAATCGCTTTCAACAAAACTAGTAAACACATGAAACTGTATACCCTAGCAAAACTTTAAAAAATTACTAACAGAGGCCGGCGCCGCGGCTCACTAGGCTAATCCTCCGCCTAGCGGCGCCGGCACACCAGGTTCTAGTCCCGGTCGGGGCGCCGGATTCTGTCCCGGTTGCCCCTCTTCCAGGCCAGCTCTCTGCTGTGGCCAGGGAGTGCAGTGGAGGGTGGCCCAGGTGCTTGGGCCCTGCACCCCATGGGAGACCAGGAAAAGCACCTGGCTCCTGGCTCCTGCCATCGGATCAGCGCGGTGCGCCGGCCACAGCGCGCCGGCTGCGGCGGCCATTGGAGGGTGAACCAACGGCAAAGGAAGACCTTTCTCTCTGTCTCTCTCTCTCACTGTCCACTCTGCCTGTCAAAAATAAATAAATAAATAAATAAATAAAAATTACTAACAGAAATAACCCAAAGGCAACCACACCAAACAGCGAGAGCTGCAGGACGCGCCTGCCGTCGCCAGGGCCCGGGAAACACCGCGGGTGCCTAAGGGGCCCGAACTCCAGCGACCGAAACCAGCTGCGCGCTACGCGGCCGGCGCTGTGGCCCGGCGGGCTCGCAGCAGCCGCGCAACCCGTCGTCTCGGCCCCGGTTCGGATCCGCTCCCGGCTGCTGCGCCCGGCTCTGGCTTGGCACAGCCCTGGCTGCGTGGCCATCCGGGGAGCGAACCAGCAGATGGAGGCTCTGCCTCTGCCGCTGTGCCTGTCAAATAACCTTAAAAAGAACACAGAACTCGGGGGAGCCCGGAGGTGCGCGCATCTCGTGGGGACGCTGTCGGCACCGTGACCACAGCTTCAGGAAGTCGGGCTCTGCGCTCGCGCTGGGCCCGGCGGGGCCGCATCCCGCTGGACGGCCAGCCGCCCTCACCCCCTGCCGCGGCCGCCCCCGCAGCCTCCCGCAGCCGCCGCACGGTCCTGCCGGCCGCTTCCCCTAGGGCCGACGCGAGGCTGGAACTCACCGACCAGTGTCCCCAAGCGCTGCGCGCGGGCCTCGGAGCCGCTGGCCGCGGTCTTCGTCCCCCCGGAACGCAGACCCGGCCCTGCCGACCTCCACCAAGAGGCCGCCCACGTCCTGGCGGCCGCTCAGGAGCCGCACGGCGGAGTCCCTCAGCTTCTGCTCGCGTCCAGGACTGCGCCGCGGCCGCCCGGCCCGGCCCGCTAGGGAGAAGAGCGAGGGCGGCGCCGTGAGCCGGGAGGGCCGCGAGGACCACTAGCCGCCCAGTCACCCGCGAGCTCAGCTCGGGACAGCGGTCGCGCCCACCTACCCAGCAGCTCGGCCCAGGACCTCCGGCAGCCTGCAGGACGCCGGCGCTCGGAGCCGGACATCGCGACTGCCCGAGCGCCGAAGCCCGCGCTGCCTCCTCGTTGGCTGGGCCAGCGCGCGCGCCCATTGGCTGGCGGCGGCCCGGCCACACCCCCCAGGATATGGGCTCACGCTGTGGGGCGTGACGATTTGGGGGGAGGGGCGTGACGCGGCGGTGGCCATGTTGTGCGTGGCGGCGAAACAGCTCTGGATAACTGGGAAAAAATACAGTAAATTTGGCGCTGGAGGCCACCAGTGTGTGTTAACAGTGGCATCTGGGGCCATCGTGGTGGGTCAACGGGTCATGTCTTTGCCTTTCGGATAACTTATAAATTGAGTAAGTCCCCGCCGCTCCTGCTGCAACCCCCCGGCGTGCCACTCGAGGGCGCCCCTGCTGCATCCCCCCTCTTCCCTGCGCTGCGGGGACTGAGAGCGGAGCCCCGCGCCCCACAGCCGGACTGCAAAGTGCGCGCCCCGCAGGGCTCCCTCGCCTCGCAGCGGGGCGGATGGCGGCGAGGCGCTACCGTGCCTGCCCTGGTGCCGGGTCCGAGCGTCCAGGCTGGGTCGGCCCGGGCCGCTGGCCACGGTGCAGAGGCACCCGGCGTGAGCGAAAGACGCCACTCACATCGCCTGCTGGTTCGGTGTGTGCCGCACTCCCCAGAGCACACCCAGTGCCTGGCACACGGGACCCGGGGCCTGCCATTGCCTGCTGGTGCGGTGTGTGCCGCACTCCCCGGAGCACACCCAGTGCCTGGCACACGGGACCCGGGGCCTGCCATTGCCTGCTGGTGCGGTGTGTGCCGCACTCCCCGGAGCACACCCAGCCTGTCATACATGCCACACGTGTGACAGATGTGACACGCATGTGACACACACCTGACACACGGGACCCGGGGCCTGCCCGTGGGGCGTGTGCCAGCCTCCAGGGCTTGATCAGCCCCTTCTGCAGGGGGAGCTGGCAGCCAGGGCCTCTGGTAAGACCCAGAAACCTTCAGGAGGGAGCAGGGCGCCCACTCAGCCACACCCAGAAGCCACGGATGGATCGGAACAAGGACACTGGGGGCTGGGCTGCGCGGGAGGGGCGGGCGCCAGGCGGAGCCTCTGTCCCCACCGCTCAGGAGCGCAGGGCGAGGAGGCTGAGGGCCTCTTCCAGTCCAGAGAGGACTGCACGCCCCCGCGGGAGTGCTGACTTCGCGGATCCACGTTAAAATCGGAAGCCCGGAGAAGCAGCCGGAACACGAGCCGCCCGCGTCCTCCGGGCCTCTGCTGCCGGCTTGCCTCCTCCCTCAGGACTCAGGGTGGCAGAGAGAGGGAGAGGCAGTCACAGAGAGGTCTCCCCTCCGCTGGCTCATTCCCCAGGTGGCCACAGTGGCCAGGAGCCCGCCCCCGCCGGGTCTGCCCCGTGGCTGCAGGGGCCACGCACCCGGGCCATCCTGCCTCCCTGGCCGCCAGCAGGGAGCTGGGGTGGGAGCCCCGCCGGCGGCGCTCTGAGTCCGTTCCCAGCTGCGCCACAGCCCAGGGCGGCCCGACTGACCAGCCCGTGCCGTCTCCTTGGTCTTGGGGCGGCCCTTGGTCTTGCCTCTGAGAGGACCCCCGGCTGTCTGAGGCCCAGGCCAAGACCAAGCGTTCCACTGAGGTCTTCCTGGCCCTGCCACTGTGGGCATCTGGGCAGTGACCCAGCAGATGGGAGCACTCACTGTCCACCTGTCTCTCTGCCTCTCAAATAATATATTAAAGAAGACCTTTTAAAAGAACAGAAGTATACTGGGAAACCCTTTTCACCAAGATGGCGCCGAAGGCGAAGAAGGAAGCTCCTGGCCCTCCTGAAGTCGAAGCCAAAGCGAAGGCCTGGAAGGCCAAGAAGGCAGTGCTGAAAGGCGTCCACAGCCACAAGAAGAAGACCGGCACGTCCCCCACCTTCCGGCGGCCCAAGACACTGCGCCTCCGACGCAGCCCAAGTACCCTCGGAAGAGCGCCCCCCGGAGAAACAAGCGTGACCACGCTGCCATCATCAAGCTCCCACTGACCACGGCGTCGGCCATGAAGAAGACAGAGACAGCAACACACGGGTGTTCATTGTGGGTGTCAAGGCCAACAAGCACCAGATCCAACGAGCTGTGAAGAAACTCTGACACTATGTGGCCAGTCGACACCTGATCAGACTGACGGAGAGAAGAGGCATGTGAGCGCTGGCTCCTGACTGTGGTGCTCTGGACCCTGCCAACAAAACTGGGGTCATCCGAGCGGAGTCCAGCTGGCCAATTCTAAGTAGATGTTTTCTCACCATAAAAAAAAAAAGAACAGAAGTATAAAAGAGTGTCAGTTACAAAAAGTAATTGTGTTTTATCCACATATGTGAAGAAATCCTGTTCATTCTGGATTCCATCAGGACTGAGAAGGAGCTCCGAAGCTAGCCTGGGGACGCGCTGAGCAGTTAAGACGCATTTTGCCCTCGTGTTTAGTAAAGCGGAGCTGGCGTGTGCGGCGTGCAGCGAGGCGGCAGGCTGCTTTCTGTGACGCGAGCGAGCGCGTCGGCTGTGCGGGGCGTGCCCTCGGAGCAGCTCGGTGTGCCTGGGCTGGGCTGCCCTGCCACCGTCGTGGCACATCTGTCCCCGTCTCCCTTGGGTGAGCTCCATGATGGCATTAGAGGAGAGGAGTGAGACTGTTGGCAGGGGCACGTGGAAACCACTTTGATAAATACATGTAAATAAATATCTATCCCTAACTTTTCCCCCAAAGCAACAGCAAGACACATTTTGTTAGATATTCTATAATGTTTTCTATAATTTAAAAATGTATAGCTTGCCATAATTGTTATTTTCATAACTATGATGCTACAATTTTTTAAAAAATTAGTTTTGTCCTAAAATTTTGAATGTTTTGATCTTTTACAGAAGTTTTTAACTTTGTTTTAAATAATTTTAAATTATGGAACTTGATATAAATTTGCTAATAAACTTTGCAGTCAGTATAAAAAAAAGAACAACAGAAAAGGAATAAACATACTTTTAAAAAAATTTTTCAGCCATACGGCATGCTTTTTAAAGTAGAACCTCATGACTAGTTTTTGTTTTTTTAAAGATTTTATGTATTTTATTTGAGAGTTAGAGTTCAGACAGTGAGAGGGAGAGAAAAAGGGAAGGTCTTCTTCCACTGGTTCACTCCCCAAATGGCCGCAAAGGCTGGAGCAGCACTGATCCGAAGCCAGGAGCCAGGCACCTCCTCCCGGTCTCCCACGCAGGTGCAGGGGCCCAAGCACTTGGGCTATCTTCTACTGCTTTCCCAGAAGACAGCAGAGAGCCGGACTGCAAGTGGAGCAGCCAGGACTAGAACCGGCGCCCATGTGGGATGCCGTTGCCGCAGGCGGAGGATTGACCTTGACACTGGCCCCAGAGCCTCATGACTTTTAGGTGAGAAAGTTGATGTTTTCCAGGCAGGAACCAGACGCTGGAGTAATGGCATGGGCGTGCAGCACCCCCGAGGCGGGGCAGGGCATCTGCCCTCCTGGGCACACAGGGAACCCAGTGCCTGGCACCAGGCGGAGGCTCTGCGGAAGACAGCCAGGGGCAGCCCAAACCAGAACACAAGTGGGACGCACCCAGGCGCAGGACCCTCCAGGGAGAAAGGAGGGAAACGTGATGAGGCAGTGCCAGGAGTTCCAACGGGAGAAATAGGAAGCCAGACACACACTCGGCCCAGGGCACACGGCTGGCATCAGACAGACAGTCATGAAGGTGGCCCGGGGAGACAGACTCCCACTACCCGCCAGGGACCAGGACGCAGGAGCCTTCGTGGACGCACGCAGTGCTTAGCGACACAGCCAGGGCGATTTCAGACCACGGCAGGCAGCGCTCGGCCGCCGCAGAGCCCCAGGCCAGGCACTCGGGACAGTCTCCGTCCCTCTGCCTCCCAGGTAAAAACAAAAATGTTTAAAAATCACTTGTAGGCCGGCGCCGCCACTCAATAGGCTAATCTTCTGCCTGCGGCGCTGGCACACCGGGTTCTAATCCCGGTCGGGGCGCCGGATTCTGTCCCGGTTGCTCCTCTTCCAGTCTAACTCTCTGCTGTGGCCTGGGAGAGCAATGGAGGATGGCCCAAGTCTATGGGCCCTGCACCCCATGGGAGACCAGTGGAAGCACCTGCCTTCTGGCTTCGGATCAGTGCGGTGCACTGGCCGCAGCGCGCCAGCCGCAGCGGCCATTGAGGGGTGAACCAACGGAAAAGGAGGACCTTTCTTTCTGTCTCTCTCTCTCACTGTCCACTCTGCCTGTCAAAAAAAAAAAAAAAATCACTTGTACTCACCGAAGGGCTCCCAAACACAAAATTGTCTTCAGAACAAGCTACCCTACCAGAGGAAGTCAGAGGCCTGGGGGCCTCAGACCACCAGTTGAATTAATTTTAAATAGCTCTGCTCTTCTGTGTAACGAGAAATGCAAACTAACCCAGTTTTCGCCTATTGAACTTTTTTTTTTTTTTTGACAGGCAGAGTGGACAGTGAGAGAGAGAGACAGAGAGAAAGGTCTTCCTTTGCCATTGGTTCACCCTCCAATGGCCGCTGCGGCCGGCGCGCTGCGGCCGGCACACCGCGCTGATCCGATGGCAGGAGCCAGGTGCTTCTCCTGGTCTCCCATGGGGTGCAGGGCCAAGCACTTGGGCCATCCTCCACTGCACTCCCTGGCCACAGCAGAGAGCTGGCCTGGAAGAGGGGCAACCGGGACAGAATCTGGCGCCCCGACCGGGACTAGAACCCGGTGTGCCGGCGCCGCTAGGCGGAGGATTAGCCTAGTGAGCCGCGGCGCCGGCCCTTTTTTTTTTTTTTTTTTTTTTTGACAGGCAGAGTGGACAGTGAGAGAGACAGAGAGAAAGCTCTTCCTTTGCTGTTGGTTCACCCCACAATGGCCACCGCGGCTGGCGCACCGCGCTGATCCGAAGGCAGGAGCCAGGTACATATTCTGGTCTCCCACGCAGGTGCAGGGCCCAAGGGCTTGGGCCATCCTCCACTGCACTCCCGGGCCACAGCAGAGAGCTGGCCTAGAAGAGGAGCAACCGGGACAGAATCTGGTGTGCCGGTGCCGCAGGCGGA